TAAAACTCGACTGAATCGAATAGTTCGAACTTTACGAATGAATCGTAATATAAGTGCATTACATTCTCATAATCTGTCAAGCTTTAGATGCTACCTTATTGTATCGCAATATCTAGATTTCATTTATATTCAATTTTTTGGGGAATTAAATATAAATACTAATGTTTGTTTTATTATTTTCATTTACACTTAAACACAAATGATTACAAATACATACAGAAACATATATTTTTTTTGTGGGGAGTCAAATTTATATGGTTTTATTGTACAAGTATTTATGTATTAGTGGTGCGGACAAAAGTACTTGCAGCATTAATGACCGTCGTATGTTGTTTATTATTTTTAGTTTTTTTTCATTATTATTATTTTACATATTTATATTGTATTTAGTTAGATATACTAACGAGTATGTATTATGAATAATTCATTATTCTATGGAATAGAGTACAATATTATTTTAGTATTATCTAATATGTTATAACACATGTATGTGGTATTATATAATTGTACATATTATTAATTAAATTCTTTAATATTTTTTTTTTTCGCTTGTCATATAAGAAATTACATATTCTATATATTTAGAATAATTATTTATTTTATAAGCATAAAGCGTCATGGAAATAATAAACGTACTTATTGACATATTTAAATGTAATTGTGTTTGCTATTACAAATTACAATTGCAAGCGAATTCAATTCAATAAAAATCAATATTTTATATTGAACACTTGTAATTGTTGCAAAGCAGCAAAATATTGTGGAATAACATCACTAATCTAAAAATTCTAAACATATTGAACATTTCAATACGATGAAATTCGAAAATTTCATTCATTAATAATTGAAAATTATCGGATATTGAATAAATAAAATACGATGAAGTTAGTTTTGAAAATTGGAATTCCATTCGTCATCGTAGTGTGAAGGATAATGATAAATAATCATTTAAGTTCGTCCGGGCAGAAATCGTGTTAACCCTCCAGCATGTGGTGAATATTCATACCTGATGTATCGCCCAAAAGTCATCGATACTCGATACAAACTTTTAATGTTCATTCAAATTAATATAAAATCTGAGGTTCCAAAATATAGTTTAAAAGCCCAGTAAGGACAGTTCAAACAGGGCCGACTATATGATACCCTTCACCACTTTGGGTACATACAAAAGATGCTCATATGTACAATATCCTTTAGATAGAATAGACACAGTATATTTTATGGAATCGGACGAAATTAACTGCGTAAATACCTAGATATTTGAACTAAATTAACGCAACCCATACATCTAAATCTGTAGAAGATCTATATATACAAATGGATGTATTTGAGCAACCGTGGCATCCACCATTTGGTATGCTGGAACACAGTGCGCTATACAAAATTTGTCTCGATACAAAATCCAATACACGTCGTTCTAGGTTTAATTTGGTACGTTGTACAGTTATTTGTCCTAAGCGGACGAACTTTAGATATTTGGTACATCATTTTGATGAAATAAGATAAAAATATATATGGAAGCTATATCCATAAAATATATATGGAAGCTATCCATAAAATATATATGGAAGCTATATCCATATATATTAAACGTGAAACGTCTTCAATCCAATATGCTATGCAATATTTCATAACCACGAACAGGCATAGGCTCCTCCATTTGTGTAGGTCAAATATTGGCAGTACGGCGCTCGATTTACATAAAATCGAACGATAAGATATATGGAAGCTATATCTAAATCTGAACCGATTTCAACAAAACTTCAACATGTAGAAACTTCAATACGCTATGCTAAATTTTGTCTCAATCGGACAAAAGTTGACAGTATGGTGCACCATTTACATAAAATCAGAGGAATCTATATATGTGGGAGCTGTATCATAATCTGAACCGATTCCAACAAAACATCACATACATAAATTTGGACTTAATTCAGTACGCTGTGCCAATCAGCCTAAATTTGACTATTTGGTGTTCTATTGCTCAATGGGAGCGATATTTAAATATGGACCGATTTCTATAAAACTTGACATATATCAATCTAGACCTAATTCAATACTCTGTGCCAAATTGTCATACAATAATCTAATCTGCAATTACGGCGTTGAGAAGCCCCAATGTCAACGGTCTACACTAAAATTTATTACTGCCATGAAAATGTAATAAGCGGACATCGGGTTAACAGCCAGCCACCAGTTGTTGTTGTGGAGTCAAGTGGGATTGAAAAACGAGCCCTTGGCTGGGGAATAAGGAAATAGTTGTAGTCGTTGTCTAGTCGAATGGGGTTGGAAAACGAGCCCTCGGCTATAAGTGAAGTATTTACTGAATAGGGCTGTCGCTGTGCCTAGCTGCCGCAAACCTCCGTCAGCGCTCATTGGACTGCTGCCATGCCAAACTGACGGGACGTCACCGCTCATCGGATTGTTGCTGTGCCAAGCTGCCGCTACACCAACAACTTTCTGTGTGCCGTCACCGTTCATCGGGGTGGCGCTGTGCCAATATGCTGCCAACCGGTTGCCGTCAACGTTCTTTCAACTGAATCTAGCTAAAAATTAAGCGCAATATATGTTGCTGAATCTATCTCAGCTTCAATGTCACACTCACTTAAAGTTTAAATCGATTTTTGGCTATTGGTAAAATATTATTGTAATTTTTTTAATAGGAAAATTCGACAACCAATGACAACTCAAATTGGAACCAATGCGGTTGAAAAAGGATTACAAAAGCTGTACCAAATAATGAGGCTACCATTATATAGGACTTACCATGAAACATGATTCAATATAAATTTTGGTATGGAGTTTTTCTACCCTTTGAGCAGTGGTGGGCATAGCAAATCATTAAAAATGACTGACGCAAAGACAATGCGTATTTAATCATCGACGCTCAGTTGCGATAGCATATATGGCTACGGATACCTGCCTTTAAGAGGACCCTCCCCATTCACGGGGTCAAATTTTTCTTCTCTTTTAAATTTTCAAATAAATATGTGCAACGTTACAAACCTTAACAAGCATTGGTATAGATTTACCAGCCCATTGAAAATCTTGAAAAATTAAAATCGAGAATGGGTGGGGTTCCTTTAAGGATACAAAATACAAAAAAAAAGTTTGTTCGCGAACTTTTATTAGTTCCAATATTCAAGCGTGCATTCGAAATGTCCAAAATCGGTCGAACTCCTTTTATGGAGGCTCTGTAAAAAAATAAATCGACATTTAAAGTTTTTTAAGACATATTATTTTATAAATACGGCTATGATCTTCAAAATGCCAAAAAATTGTTATAATTTTACTTGGGTGCTATGTCAAAACTTCAACATTTATTGAAAAATGACTTTAAATTAATTTTTACCCACCAAGCTATGTTACAGCCATTTCGATTTAAAAAATGCGCCTACGGCAATAAAGGTACCTAAAATGGCCTGTAAATAAATATGGGGAAATGAGACGGTACCATTATATGAGGCGCAGGGTAAAACCATTAACTTATATTAAACATTTACTGTATAGATTTTGTTTACCCTCTAAGAATCCGAAATTAAAGCCATTTTGATTTAAAAAGATTTCCAAAACAACTAAAAGGGGAGGCGCGACAAATAAAAAAAATTCAGCTTAGTACTTCAATTGACGTGATTTCGCTCCTATATAAAAATATGAACTTATATTGAAAATCCTTTTCAGGTGAACATCTTTGAGAAATCGCAATACGATATAGCAGAAACGTGAACTCGTTTGAATGCGTGGAAATCGCAATTGTCGGCTGATAAGGTCATTACACAAACATTTTTTCTCAAAAACGAGTTTCTATGACTAGAGCTTTACTCATAATCGGATTCAGATTTTGATACGTTATTCATCAAATCACGACTACCGAAATCGTTCTATATATGCGTGGGCCTGTCCATTATAAGTTGTTGACAAGTTGAGGCGACAGTTTTGGAAAAATCATTTTGGATTAGAGTCCGTTTATAGCTAATGATGACCATTATCGAACAAGAAGGCGCAAATGTAGCAAAATTTTAACCAGATTAGATCTGCAGAAATTTAAAACAAAATTGTAGTTGTATAGCATTTCAAATGATCGGTAGTTGTATGGGGTATCACAGCTACAGATTTTTAAATTAATTTGCGGAATATTAAAAAAACAAATCGTCAAAAATTTAATCATTCTAATTCCGTTGGTATTCTTGTTTTGAAGATTTTCCAGTTAGCGGAATGTAATGTAAGGAAGCAAAATAATTTATTTTTTAATTTACCGACACACTGAATTCCTAGAATTCCGTTTATCCATCTCTACAAAATGTTCAAAATAAACCATTTATTTAACAAATTAAAAAAAACAACAAATCAATTTGTTGTGAAAATTAACGTACAATTGTGTATCGTGTAATTAGTCTGTGTACACACTTAATTATTTATTTATTCATGTATTGTTATTGTTTCTTTTATTTTAACTATTTTATTTTTATTTGCAGTTGTTGTTGTTGTAATTGTATATATGTTAATTATTAGTGTAAATTTTACTTATGGTAGAACAACAAAACAAATATTATTATGCATTACGCCTCCTTATGTATGTATATGTAAATAACGGCAACCTAATTTACAACAATATGCAACATAGTAGTACAGTCAAAGCCGGAAGCCATAACGAACGGGAAATCATGTCGGAAACGAAAGCATAAAATGAAATGTTCAAAATTTCAAACTACACTCACAGCATCATTGCGCCCGCTTTGCAATCAGGCTGGCTCATGGATTAGCAAAATTTAATTAGAAATGCTCAAAGCACGAGAGCAGGTGGTTTCCGTCCGATTCCCTACACGAGCTCGGTTGGGCGTTCATTTGCCACTTGACCCACATACGATGACTTAACAATATATGACCATATCTTATGTGGGATATATGCAGATTCTTCTGGCTGCCGGCGAATGCAGTGATTCTGAAGATATTGTCAAGACTAGATGCGTTTGTGTTGGGACACAGTATAATAAATCTACTTGTATCCTCCTCTGTGGTGGTGAGCAGTGACTGAAATGTATTCTTATGCAGCTTGACAGTGCTCCTCTTGGCTTTATTAAAAATCAATAGATGTTTCTCGTGTATGTCCTTGCTTTTGTAGAGTTGGAGTGACCTGTCACTGTTGCATAAACAATTGGTGTCACGTCTGTAATTACAGTTTTGAACTTTGCCAAAATGGTGATGTGTTTCAAATGCCCTCATCGGCTTCTGTTGCATGCAAGAATTTCCACAGCTATGTTCGCTACCAGCCATCGACCCAACGGACACATTTCCCCTGTGTTCATTGTGATTGTGGTTATTCGTATTGTTGTAGTGATTGACATGGGTGATGGGCTTTGTTCTCAGTAAATTTGATTTCTCTGTGTTTATAAATTGGTTAAAATATAAATGTTTCTGACATTGTTGTTGACATGCAATTATTAGGCCAGTCATTGTCTGTAAAATATTTAATATCAGCTGCAAATTTATCACAGCAAATATAGAGAGCAACGTCAAGGGGATAATTCCGCTGAGTTGTTTTAAATTATCGGCACCCGAACGTAGAGCACTCTGTTCCTTTTCCAGACATTGGCGAAATTCTTTGTAATCGACACGGGTGATAGCACAATAATGGTTAAGCATACACACACTGTCGCATGGATCGGTTTGGTAGCGTACCGAATTGGCACGATAATATCTGAAAAGAAAGGGAGAAACACAGAAAAGTTTTAAATATTTTCGAATATATGTTGGAATAATAAGTGTGAATGAAATTACAATAAACAATAAGGTAACAAACTTGAATTTCATATATTTCAGGACTTATGAAGGACTTCCCCTTACGCTTTTATGTATAAAGATCAATAGGTATGCAGAGTGACAACAGGTTTATATAAATTACAATTGTTCTGTATTGAGACCGATTGAAAGTGTCTGCAGAGAGACCATAGATTTGTATAGAAACCACAGGTGTGTATAAAGATTAATTGATCAGTGTATACAATACATGGGTATATATAGTCGAATTGGTGTGTAGAAAGACCACAGGCCACTAGGTATGTAAACTGGCCGATTGTAAGTGTATATATATCACAGATAGCCTCAGAGTCCATAGGCGTGTAAAAAAAATATTAGTCTATATTTAGAAAAATATTTTTTATAATTACCCATGTGTCTTTCTAGCTTCATTTACATGAAATAGGATAATCAGTACTATATATGTAAATCATGGTCTATTAAGGCCAAAGCTCACACTATGCGAAATTTCAATGTGCCAATTGACTCAAAATGTCTTAATTAGTGAAACATTTAATTGAAATCGGCCTAAAGACCCTCTGGGTGTTCAAAGACCAAGCTAATTTAACGAAAATTATTTGGAGAGAGATCTATCATCAGTCTACCGGAGCTGCAGCAACTGGTGAGGAAATAATAGAGTAGAGGTAACTACACACCACATTAAGTAGGGTGCGACTAATACCCCAAAAAGCGGTCAGATCCTCATAGATTTCATCAATACTTACGGCCTAATAATATCCCTTAATATCACTACGTTATTAGAATTAGAGAGGTGGTTTTAGACATAACTAAATGTTCAATTAACTTAAGGGACGCCCCCCCCAAATTCACGATTTTAATTTTTCAAGATTTTCAATGGTCTGGTAAATCAATACCAATGCTTGTTATGGTTTGTAACTTTGCACAAATATATTTGAAGATTTAAGAGAGAAGAAAAATAATTTACAACAAATTTTGTTATTGTTTGGTTGTTGTTTTTTGTAATTAAAGAAAAGTACTTATTTTTGATGGCGGGCATGATAACTCCTCACTGGAACATCGGAATCCGAAAATTTCAACGGTGTTAGAAAGAGCATATGTCTGGCTCTCGTATGAACTAGGATTATTGACTTCGCTCTAAAATTAACAAGATAATGGACCTTTGAAAAAATATTTTTGGAAAATCGCCGATTTTTGACCAAAAACCAAGTTAAAAAATAAGGAAGATCTTCACCGATTGACTTTATCCCAGTTCATACGATAGCTATACACTCACTGAGAAACGTGTAAAAATTTGGAATCGATTGGGTTATTAGTTTTTTAGTTATCGTGCCCGCCATTCGCAAAAAAGAAAAACGCGTTTAAAGTTTGAGAAGCCCTCCGGCCGTCACTCGATGCTAACACAATAAATCGTCTATATCTTCAAGAGTTCTTGAGATATTCACTTGAAATTTTGTAGGGACATTCTGGAATTAGTGTAGATTCTAATAAAATCGAAATAATTTGATCCCGAGAATGGGGGGTCCCCTTAATAGACGTGGTACAAGAATGGAGAGTCCCACAAGAATACTCATTCTCTTACCATAAATATATTAGGTTTAAACACTTCGAGAAAGGAAATCTGCCTTCGACAGACCCTGGATGACTGGAGACATTTGAAACAAAGGAAAATAGTTCCGAAGAGCTCGCCGCAAGAAATCTGCAGTATACCGAGAAAGAATACAACAAAATGACAAGAGCCTCTGGAAAATGTTCTGTGAACAGGAATATAGAATAAACGACGTCTCAAAAATAGAGAAGTTTCCAATAAAAACCAACACTCATATCGAAAACAATGATATATAGATAGATAGAGGGAAAACCAGAATAGAGACAATAGATGAAGCAAAAAGGCTCCTCACGAAAGCTTACTTCCCGCCGAACACATCGACATCTGATGAAGTAACGCTGCACCTATGATTAATGGGCAAATGGTGAACGATTCATTGAAGACTTCTGGCCATTCGAAGCAGTTGGACAGACTCCCGCATTTCGTAACACATGTTTACGAAATGCGTACACTCCGAACGCCTGATATGAGCCAAAGCCCGGCAAGACACACTACGCAACACCAAAATCTTGTGATGCCAAATGTCCAAACCTTGACACGGTTGAATTTAATTCGTAGATTCATTTTCGCAACAATGGTCGACATAAATACCACTTATCAAGTAAAGACATCTGTAAGCAGCATTGCCCAATATGCCTGACGAGCCGCTTAACCAACGGCGAAACGCATCGCATAATGGTGGGAATGTAGTATCTATCTGGCGATCATGTAGCTCATCTCGAAAGAGAAATTAATAAAAAAATACACTTTATTTATTCATTTCGGATTCTACTCATGAATCTGACTCTTCGGAAAATAAGTTTAAAGTCAGAGTCAACGCAAAATTATGGCGACAGCGTTGTTTGCATTATATTGGATTCGGAGTCTATTCAAAATCATCTCGACGACATTGTTTGCATTACATTATTTCCATATACAAACTGTCGGTTTCGATTTAGATGTAGCTAGATGTTATCCGCCATGTTTTTGTGGTTTGCTTGCTATTTATTTTCCACCTTTTTCTACTGATATTTTCTTCTAAGACATAAATATGGGGGATGTTTATCTTAATTTTATGATTATGTGGCGACAATAATTTGCATATTGTTTATTTTCTTTTTAAACCTAAATGCATGTAAATTAGAATATATTAAATATTCTCTAATTAATCCTGAGGTATAAATAGTACATGTGATAATGTTTCGAAGTCAGTACCTAAAAGTATATTGAACGCCTAACAGTTACCTGAACCTGAAGCAGAATTATTCCCTTAAAAATGAAAGCCCTAAGTGTTGTTTTGATGATTGTTTTTGTTTGTGATATAAATGCCCTCTATACACGAGTCTGTGGTCCTCATTTAACGCAGTTGTTAGAAGCCGTATGTGTTAACGGCTACAATGGAATGCAGATGGCCAAGAAATCTACATATAAGCCATGTAAGTTGTTTACTATTTATAATGAAGATAAGTTATGTTTTAGCTTTCGTATTTTCTTTTATCAGTGACTTCAAACATTGACGCTTTAGATATATACAATGAGATCGATGATGATATATCTCCCTTTAAATCGGATTCCTTGTTGAAGGATATGTTGTACGGGGAACGTCTTAACACCTTGGCCAAAACCCGTAGGCAACGACATTTGTCTGGTGTTTATGATGAATGCTGTCGTAAACCCTGCAACATGGATGAATTACTAAGTTATTGTTTGTAATGTGTTGTTAATGGAAATTGTTGCAAGAATGAAATGATTATATTGTAAATATACACACATATATTAAATGTCCTTACACTTAACGATTTTATATGTGACAATTTGACATACGATAAATTCGAAAGTGTTTGTGTTGTCTTTTAAGTCCTGATTTATATTAGGCGAGTATACTTGCGGCAATTATTATCGTTCCCTTTTGAACTTGCTCCATGCGTCTATACAAGGCAATTCGGTTTTGAAAATATTTCTTTTTCATTTGATGTCAATAGTTTTTTCACATTTAGATAAATATAAAATGTCAACAAATACGAAATACACAAAACGAATTACCAGAAAATTGTCGGTACGAGCAATTTTTTTCCATTTCTATTCCCCTTGCCCTTCTCTCCTACAGTCAAAGACTTGCCGCAAGTAAACTCGCCTAATATAAATTGGGACTAAGTAAATTACAACAAGAAAACATGGTGGTTATTGTCGTTTTTTTATTATTATCGATATCTGTGAATCGATTTTTATACCCTTCACCACACTGTGCCACAGGGTATTATGTCTTTGTGCATATGTTTGTAACAGGAAAAAGAAAAAGAGATAGACATAGTCCCTGTATAGCATAACGTACTAAATTAAGTCAATAATGATGTGGTGTCCCAAAAATATTCTAATCTTAATGAATTTGGACAAGTTTTTCGTTGGAATTGTCTTTAATTGGGAATGTTGGGTTGTAATTGCGTGCAAAATAGGCCTGCTAATAAGTATCAATAGATTTTTGGGTCGGTTTTTAAACGAATTCGCTGTAATTTGGTATTTTGGTTTCGTATTTGTGTAACAACTCTCCCTACTAAATTTTATTATTATTATTATTATTATGTATATCTTCTACCTATACCTATAAAACTTCCGCCCGTTTTTCCTTACATACCAGGTTTTAGGCACACTTGCCAACCTGTATTACAGTTCCACGTGTTGATGGATCCTTAATTACACGAAACAACCAGTATACCCATTGCCCGGCCGAACTTATTGCCTTTTTCACTTTCTATTTTATAGAATAAGAATTTTATTGTAGAAGAACCGCAAAGGAAGTTGGTAAATAAAGTTTGACACCATTAAAGTTGTTCCGTCATACACCATAAGAAACAGATATTGAATATATAATATAAGAAAAGGACTGTTTCTAGAATGAAGACAAATATTGAACCTTGATAAATTTGAATTTATTTCGCATATGCTATTTCGCATCAGGGCGAAATAAATACATGTTATCAACATATGACTTTTGTAATGCCACATAGCCCAATATGCTTGATGAGCCGCTTAACCAACGGCGAAACGCTTCGCATAATAGTGGGTACGTAGGTTCTTCGCCTGGGTTACCTTTCCATTGCAAAACTTAGATCATTAAACTCGACTCGAAAAAGTATAAATAACTCACTTAAAATTTAATTCAAATAACAAATAAGTGAAAAAGCGTTAATGAAAATATAGGGAATATACCAAAAAGTGGACCTATACCGACATTTGTTAAAAGGAATTATGTAAACCATAATACAAATTTCAGAAATTTTTAGTGGATAATTATACCCTCAGCCTTTTGGCTAATGCGGATGTATACAAATTAACACGGTGAAAATGTGCCTCATCGAAATATTGGTTCTAGACCCCATGTTTCTTTGAACCAAATCCGTTTCAGAAAACTAAAATTTCATCCAAACTTTGCCCATCTTATTATTTTTTCCAAACTTAGTTCAAATTCAAAGATGGGGAATATCGGTCCACTCCTTCTGGAACCTCCCCACAGGGGCTAGGTCTAAATGCGGCTATAGTTCATTATCGAACCTTACGTTATAATTTTGTATCTCGCTATCCTCCGCTGGAAAAATGATTACAACAGAGTCTTAGAACCAAACTCAAAACGCGGAACAAATCAGATAACTATTTTAATATAGAAAAGAGGGTTATATGGGGACTACCGCAAAAAGGGGGCGAATATTAATAATTGTTGGTAGGGAGATTTGTTACCATATACGACTACAAAATACCAAATTGCAACAACTTCGGTTAAAAACGCGCTCAAGAACCCCAAAATACCGAAAATTGGGGATACTCTAATATGGGGGCTATCCGAAAAAATGAACCTATATTCATAATTTTCTGTGGGGAGATTTGGTACCTATTAAGAACTCAAAATACTAAATTACAGCTAATTCGGCGGAAAAATACGCTAAAACCCCCCAAAATACTGAAAATTAGAAGGTACCGTTATATGGGGACTACCTTAAAAAGTTTTTTGTGGAGACATTTAGTACCCAATAAGAACCCAATGTAGCAAATTTTTAGCGAATTCGGTTGAAAAACGCCCTCAAGAACCCCAAAACACCAAAAATTGAGGGGTACCATTATATGGGGGGTACCAGAAAAATTTACCTATATTTATAATTTTTAGTAGGGACATTTGCTATCCAATAAGAACTCAAAGTACAAAATTTCAGCGAATTCGGTTGAAAAACACGCTCAATAACTTCAAAATACCGAAAATTGGGGGTACTCTTATATGGGAGCTATGCCTAAACTTGGCTAGATCGTCTTAGAATTTTACCTTAATTTTACTTTATAGGGTCGGAAATGAATATTTCGATTTGTTACAAACGGAATGGCAAAATTAATATACCCTCCATACTATGGTGGAGGGTACAAAAAAACTGTTTATTTTCTATAAAATGACTATAGATGACTTTTAAAACATTTAACTCATTGTAACAAGTTTATGACACTCGAACCATCCTTGGTAAAGAACAAACATCAAATAATCGAAAACTTCAGTTTTGTACAATACTGTATTTTTTTTCGAAACAATTAGTGTCAATATTATTATGTGAACATCCAGTTCAACAAGTGTAACGTTCATAAAAATTTACACATTGTTAATAATGTTGACAGCGATAAAGGTGGTGTTAGTTAATGAATGGCAAAAGTTCAGTAGATAACGTTAACACACACACACACTCAAACATGTCGGGTACTATATTATTAAAATATCATATGTCACGTGATACAGAAACACTACTATACAATTGATATATGTACGTGCAATGGTCTTTCACTGATATACACATATACACGATAGACATCTATATATAATTACGGAGCTAACAGCTTGTTTTAACAAAGCGCGATCTGTTTTTATGTACTAATTACATATAGTAAATTTGTAATTTGAAATGTTTTGTTTTGTGTAATTTGAAATTCCGAGTTTTTTGAAGACCATAGCAAAAAAGGGTCTATGTCAAAACAATGAACTAGTTTTGATATAGACCCTCCTTCAAAGCTCAGCCACATTATCTATATATTGAAACAAAATTTTACTGCATTTGTTTTTATAGTCCCCATATATGATGTGTGCCAAAATTGCCTTCAATCGGCTCAGATTTATTTATTTCCCATTTGTATACCCTCCACCATAGTATGGAGGGTATATTAATTTTGTTTTTCCGTTTATAACTCATCGAAATAATCATTTCCGACCCTATAAAGTATACATATTCTTGATCAGCGTAAAATTCTATGACGATATAGTCATGTCCGTCTGTCTGTTGTAATCACTCTAGCCTCTAAACGAATTGAGATAGATCGCCGAAAAATTAAGCATAGAGTTTTTTGTCTGCAAGCAGCTCAGGTTCGAAAATGGGCTATATCGGTCAACGTTTAGGCATAGCTGTCATATAAGCGTACACACCAATTTTCGGGTTCGGGTTATTTTGGGGTTCTTTAGCGCGTTTTCAACTGAATTCGCTGAAATTTGGCACGTTGTGTTCTTATTGGGTTCCAAATTTCTCCACTAAAAATTATAAATATAGGTCCACTTTTTATGGCAGCCCCCATATAACGGTACCCCCAATTTTTGGTATTTTGAGCGTGTTCTTCAAGCGAATTCGCTGTCATTTGGTAGTTTGTAGTCGTATATGGTATATGGTATCTCCCTACCATGAATTATTAATATTCGCCCCTTTTAGGGTTAGTGCCATACAACCCTCTTTTTAGATTAAAATAGTTAACTGATTTATTCCACGTTTTGGGATTGTATCCGTATAGCCGCATTCCATAGTATGGGGGATATTCTGCACTCGAACTTGAGCTATATCGGTGCTCATTTAGGCATAGCCCCTCGTATAATGATAACTCCAAATGTTCGGTAATTCCAACACGATGTAATCAATATTGATCACCGTTAGGGATAGCCCATAACTTTGCCCTGTAAATTGCCTCATTTTGAGGATTTTATATACATTATCTACCTCATGTTTTATCTACCATGTTTTTGGGTTTTGAGATTTTATGAAAAATCATCATTAGAAATTGGTGAAATTTGTATTTGGTGGTTTACAAAAATCGATAGGTAGAATTGTCGTTAATGTCCACAATTTGATATATTCCCTGTATTTTCATTTCACGTAACTACCAGTAGTGGAGGGTATCTAAAGTTCACTTGTTATTTTTCGTCCGATTTCATGGCAACATGTATAACAGTATAAAAATTTCGCTTTACAACAAACATAAAAAACGCATTACAAACACCCGGACTTAGCACTACACCCCAAAATCTAGCTTCAAAATTATGGGTTGGAACTACAAAAACGCGTCTGGTGACACCCCTTCATTCCACCGAAATTCTATTCATAATTTTTTTTTATTTTTAGTTTTTTTTTGCTTTCGTTAATGTAATTGGCAAATTGCCTCCGTACAAATAGTTACAGTGCAATATCTATTTTAAATTCGATTGTAAGAAAATTAGCATAAACAAACATTTGGCAGCGGATGGCAAACCTGATGCAGCAACAAAAAACTAAAAACTGAAATTGTTACAAATATTATTCGGTTTCTTTTTCGTTACTCCAAACTCTTGCCATTCAGCCCGCCCATTCATACCATTCACCTTTGTTGGGACTGTTTTGGTTTTTTTTCCAACAGTCTGTTCTCATTATAGCCCAGAGGGACGATGTGAAATGGCTTTTGTATGTGGGGCATGAACGCAGGGACGCATGGGGCGAAATATGTTTGCAATTCAAATTGTATAAAAAAGAAATGGATGAAAGTGTATATACACAGAGAGATAAACAAAAGGATACAACCCAAACGAATGCACTTACTTGGCAAACCAGGATCCATCGTTGCTGGTAAAACGATCCACAAAATTGTGCAAGGAAATCGCTGATATATCACTTAGGGCATAGTAATGTGTAAGGTTGTATTCTGGCACCCAATTCGGTTCTCCCAGCAGATTGGCACTCTGCAAATCCATATAGTACTGGGTGTAGTCCAAAACCTATAATTATGCATAGAAGAAAAAAGAAAATAAGTTTGGAACGATGAAGAAGAAGAAGTAGCTCCACATAAAAACTGTAACATTTCATTATGCTTCAAATGTTTTTTCCTGATTGTAAGGAGGTTTGTGTTTAAGTTTCGATTTTTTGTTTGTAGTTGTAATTTTCGTCCCAATGGATGGCCTGCTGTTAACGTCATTTGTTATGGTCAAGTGTTGAGTTTTTATTTGTTTTCTTTTCTTTTCATTTCGTTTTTTTGTTTCTTCTTGTTCTATAAATATGGCTTTGTTGGTTTAAGCTTTTTGTGAATGAATTGAAAGAAATATGCAAACAATAGCAAAAATTATCGAAAGTAGAAAAACCCGTGTTGTTCTCCTTTGTAAAAATAAATGCAATGGTAAAAAAATACAACACAATGTGTATTTTCACAATACACTCCATACATACATACATACATTTTCATGTGACACATTTACATTTTTATCTTTTTGTTTTTGTATGACCTAAAAAACAATTGCGAGAGGAGAGGAATTATGTCATGCATAGCCGAATATGCACAAAGTCCTACATTACTTACAGTATATGGAAAATATTCCATGTGGTGTACATTAGAGACTACTGCCTTAATTGGGAGTGTGTATCAAGATATATACATAAAGGGTTGTGCATTTCGTGGTTCCAACAGTAAATGTAAATAAAACGCATGTAAAATATTTGTTCATGATATATCTAGTTGTGTAGGGTATACCTTACACAACTATGTTGTCAGGGTATTATAGCTTTGTGACCCACCTTTTAGTATACCGATCGTCATGTCTCAACCAGTTGAGTTGATTTAGACAAATCGCTCATTTGCTGCAGGAGAGGCATGACTCAAAAAAACGTGTTTTTCGAGTTAATGATGTACGATTGTTCGCTATAATAGAACTCATGTTGTGTAAAAAATGCATATGAATGAGAAGCTGTAGAAGTTCTTCAGTCCCATATAAAGTGCGAGTAAATTGAAAACTTAAAACGCATTTTCTGCAAAAGCGGGTCTTTTGAGTTATGCCTGTCTTGCAGCAAATGAACGATATGTGTCTGTCCATATGTCCATTATAATTTGTAAACACAATACATGCCACAGTTATAGGCCAATCATTATGCAGTTTTGCATGTAGGGCGGGTTCGGGTCAAGGAAGACTCCTATAGCTTTTTGGTAATGATCGGTTATATATAGGGGATGAAATGGGCCAAAAACTTTATACAATTTTTGGAATGTTCCCTATATTTACACTTCAAGTAACTATCTGTAAACTTATGGTGGGGGTAACCAAAGTTCGGCACGGCCGAATTTAATGCCTTTTTGTCAAGGGGCTGAAGGGAGGAATTTACCAACATTGGTACCTTTTTGCTCACCACTATACGTTTTTATACCCTCCACCACACTGTGGTACAGGGTATTATGTCTTTGTGCATATGTTTGTAACAGGCAAAAGGAAACGAGATAGACACAGGGTTCGCTTTGAGAATATGCATAGAATCACTTTCTGAGTCAATTTATGCATGTCCGTCTATCCGTCCGTCCGGTCGTCCGTCCGTCTATCCGTCCATGTATTTTTGTGAGCAAAGTACAGGTCGCATTTATGATCCGAATTGAATGAAATTTGGCACAGCCTATTTGTTTGGTCCAAGGACGAACCCTATTGAAATTGGAGAAAATCGGTTCAGATTTAGATATAGCTCCCATATATACTTTCGTCCGATGTCATCTAAATGGTGGGCCAAACTTCCAATATTTATCCGATTGAAATAAATTAGCACTGCGTACTGAATTACGTCCAGTTTGATGTCTGCGAAGTTTTGTAAAATTCGGTTCAGATTTAGATATAGCTCCCATATATACTATCGTCCGATGTCACCTAAATGGTGGGCCAAACTTCCAATATTTATCCGATTGAAATAAAATTTTGCACTGCGTACTGAATTAAGTCCAGTTTGATGTCTGCGAAGTTCAGATTTAGATATAGCTCTTACATATAGGTTCGTCCGATTTTATGTGAATGGTGCACCCAACTCCCATTTAGGATAGAGTGTGTTAAGTTTCATTCAAATCGGATCAGATATAGATGTAGTTTCGTCCAATTGTATGTAAATGGAGCACCAACCTCGAAATTTTTGTCCGATTGAAACAAAATTTCAGTAGGATAGAGTGTGCTGAGTTTCATTGAAATCGCGTCAGATTCAGATATAGATATATATAGTTTCTTCCGATTTTAAGTAAATAGTGAACCAAACTCCCAAGATTTGTTCGATTGAAACACAATATTTTCGTCCATTTTCATGCAAATGATGCACCGAGGAGCTTACGTTTGGTGGCGTTACATGAAATATTGCAAAGAGACCAAATAACTAAAGTTTTTTTTTTTTCGATTGGAAAGAATTTCTGCACAACGTATAATATTGGAGCTACGATAACGCGTATTGGAGTTTGTAAAATATATTCATATCTAAATATAACCCCTATATATTTTCTTCTGAGTTCATGCAATTTGTGTACCAAATAATAAACATTTCTTGGTTGTCCAATGATTCTAAGTCTGTCAGGCTTTTGTATACATTAGCATCTCTTGTATGTACCCAAAGTGGTGAAGGTTATCATATAGTCGACCCCGTCCGACTTTTGAACATTCCTTACTGGTTATTGTATGAAAAACTTCCTGGCAATAAAGAGATTCTTGTATATATATATATATATATATATCATTTGCCGCAAGGCCGGTAAAAATCAATCAGAAAAATCGTTTTAATTTCCAATTGAATCACATCTTATACGGAACAGAGGAACTTCTATTGAAGAGTGTGTAAGATATATTCACCTGAATTTATTACACAAAATCAGGTCAGAGGTAGCGATTAATTGTGCATCAATAATAAAAAATCACGATTTTTTTTTGTGCCGGTTTCGCAGTTGCGATATAGTATTATTTTCGATTGCAACACCTTTCAAATTTTTTACATCACTTTTTTGTATTGAATAACTCATATTCATGCATGATGTATGCATATTCAGGATGTGCACCCATTTTATGTTTGCTACACTGAAAATTGCATAATGATTTATTCTACTTTTTGTTATTTTGCATATTGCTATTTTATGGATGTATCTTCAGATGTTCATGTAGTTGAACGATTTTAATAAAAGTGTGGCATAAATTTAAAAAAAGGTGTTGAGAAAGTGATTTCTTCAGTATTTATATGCCGTTGTGAATAACAGCCATATAAGTAGTTAGTAATTGATATACTGATAGAGTCTAAGTGCGACCTAAGTAGCATCATAAATATGTTAATTATTAATTATCATTTAGGAATAGTATAAACTAAAGTATAAAAGAATTTTATTAGGGTCGATTTGGAACGTTGAGCTCAATTTCGTTTCAATCGAACATAAGTAGAATAATTGGCATGAAATTTCACGAAATTCAAAAGTGTTCTTCCTTGGACAAAATATCATACCATTTGGATCATAAGAGTAACGTTTAAATTGTTTTAAATAATACAAATTAATTATGGGTTTAATTCGATTCATTTTATACGTAATAATTTTGGTATTTTTTTTATAGATTAAGATTTTGTAAATTTTTCGTTTTTTTAATACTGCAAGTCAAAAATATTTTATATATATTTTTTACAATGAATAAAAAATTATTAAAAATAATTGGAAAGTGCTCATGAAAAAAGTTACAACAAAAAGTATTAAAACAATGCTTAAATCTACAACCGAGAAAAACGTAGTTGATTTATGCTTTTTTTATAATTTTCATTTCATGTTTCGTAGGTAATGTCCTAGTTTGATATGTGGTAAGGACTGCTCAACAGGGAACAATGTTCATTCAATGTGAATTTGTTCGTCCCCTTTGTAAAATTTTTTAGTTTGATTTTTGGCACAGCACTGAAAAAAACACTATGTGATCACTAGCTTTGCCTGAAAACGTTATTGGTTACTATGAAGAAAGACAAATACTTCATTGTAATCGAAACCCGTTTGGTTATATCACGCAAAATTTAATCAAAATTTAATGGAAATTGATATATTACAAGCACTGTACATTTATATATACCGAACCATGAAGAAAAACTAAAGCTGAAAAATTATAAGTAAGAAAAGTGTTAAGTTCGGCCAGGCCGAAATTTGGATACCCTCCACCATAGGTAGGTACTGATAGTTACTTGAAGTGAAAATATGGGGAACATACCAAAAAGTGGACCTATACCGACAATTCTACAAACCGATTTATGTAAACCATTATGTTCACCAAATAAAAATTTCAGCGATTTTTAATGGGGATTTCTCCTAAAATTTGAAAGCACCGAAACGTGGACCGATATTGATAACGAATGGTAGAGTGTATAAATTTACAGAGCAAAGTTATGTGAGACTATGTCCAAAGGAGGACAAATATTGATTACATAGTTAGGAATAAGCGAATATTTTGGGTTGTCATTATAGGAGGGGCTTTGCCTAATTAATGACCGATAAAGCCCAATTTCGTTTTGTGTCTCAATACTTTCCCTCATGAGGTGTCATTATATGCCTAATAGCTGAACGATATATTAAATCGACGTCAGGTTCGAGTTTTTATACCCTTCACCACACTGTGGTACAGGGTATTATGTCTTTGTGCATATGTTTGTAACAGGCAAAAATAATCGAGATAGACCCATGGTTCCTTTTGAGAATATGCATAGAATCACTTTCTGAGTCGATTTATGCATGTCCGTCTGTCCGACTGTCCGTCCGTCCGTCCATGTGTTTTTGTTAACAGAGTACAGGTCGCATTTATGATCCGATCTGGATGAAATTTGGCACAGATCACTTAATTGGCCCAAGGACGAACCCTTTTGAAATTGGAGAAAATCGGTCCACGTTTAGGCATAGCTCCCATATAAGGGTACCCCCCAATTTTCGGTATTATGGGGTTCTTGAGCGCGTTTTTCAACCGAATACGCTGAAATTTTGTACATTGGGTTCTTATTGGGTACCAAATTATTCCACTAAAAATTATAAATATAGTTCCAGTTTTTCTGGTAGTCCCCATATAACGGTACTCCCAAATTTTTGGTATTTTGGGGGTTCTGATCGTATTTTTCGACCGGATTGACTTTAATTTAGTACATCGAGTTCTTATTAGGTAGCAAATATCTCCACTAAAAATAATAAATATAGGTCCACTTTTTCGGGTAGCCCCCATATAAGGGTACCCCCCAATTTTCGGTATTTTGGGGTTCTTGAGCGCGTTTTTCAACCAAATACTTTGTAATTTGGTTTTTTGTAGTCGTATATGGTAACAAACCTCCCTCCTAAAAATTACTAATATTCGCCTCCTTTTAGGGGTGGTCCCCTTATAACCACCTTTTTATACCCTTCACCGCACTGTGGTACAGGGTATTGTGTCGTTGTGCATATGTATGTAACAGGCAAAAATAATCGAGATAGACCCATGGTTCCTTTTGTGAATATGCATAGAATCACTTTCTGAGTCGATATATGCATGTCCGTCCGTCCATGTATTTTTGTTAACAAAGTACAGATCGCATTTATGATCCGATTTGTATGAAATTTGGCATAGTTTCGTCCGATTTCATGTAAATAGTGCACCAAACTCCCAATAGTGGTCCGACTAAAGCAATATTTTGCACAGAGTACTGAATTAGGTCCCGACTGATGTATGAGAAATTTTGTTGGAATCGGTTCAGATTTATATCTAAATATGCTATATATAGTTTCGTCCGATTTTATGTAAATGGAGCAACATACTGCCAATATTTACCCGATTGAGACAAAATTTTGCACCGCGTACTAAATTAGGTCATTGATGAATGCGAAGTTTTGTTGAAATCGGTTCAGATTTAGATATAGCTCCCATATATAGTTTCGTCCGATTTAAGGTAAATTGTGCACCAAACTCCCAATATTGGTCCGATTGAAGCAAAATTTTACACAGAGTACTGAATTAGGTCCCGACTGATGTATGCGAAATGTCTATATCTACAGGATATTGTAGATATTAACATGTCTTGCATGTACCCATAGTGGTGAAGGGTATCATATAGTCGGCCCCGTCCGACTTTTGAACTTTCCTTACTGGTTTTAATTCCGATATCCTAAAAAGAGGAATGATTAGAATTTCACACTTTGTTGGGTAAAAACTGACAATTTCGAGTGTCGAATAGCCTCCATACTATGGTAGAATACGCCTTTATTCAACCCTTTCAGTGTTTTTGTCGAATATATTCGACTCTCTTTCTATTGATGTTTTCTGAAAGACAGACGAAACTGTCCGAGGGTTAAAATGAAAATTGATATTTTTTCGAAATTCTATGCCATTATAAGATTTTAAATACAAAACTTTAGATTTTTATTTCGACAAACAATTTTTTTGACACTGAAAGGGTTAATATAAAAAGTAGGTTATATGGGGACTACCCCTAAAAGAGCGCGAATATTAATAATGTTTGGTAGGGAAATTTGTTACCATATACGACTCCATTAAACAAAATTGCAGCGAATTCGGTTGAAGGAGGATCCCCTTATATGGAGGTTACCCGAAAAAATTTACCTATATTTATAATTTTTAAAAAATTTACCTATATTTATAATTTTGCTATCCAATAAGAACTCAAAGTACTAAATTACAGCCAATTCGCTCAAAAACTACGATCAAAACCACTAAAATACTGAAATTTTTGGGGGGTACCGTTATATGGGAGCTACCAGAAAATGTGGACCTTTATTTATCATTTTTGGTGGAGAATTTTTGCACCCATTAAGAACATAATTTACCGAATTTCAGAGAATTCAGTTAAAAAACACACTCAAGAACTCCAATATCTGAATATTGGGGGCTACCCTTATATGGGAGCTATGCCTAAATGGGGACCATCTTTGAACTTGATCTGCTTGCCGACAAAACACAAATCTATGCAAAATGTTTTGCGATCAATCTGAATTCGTGTAGAGGCTAGAGTGATTACAACAGGCGGACTAACATGTTTAAATCGTCATCGAATTTTACGCTGGTCATAGGGTCGGAACTTGGTATTTCATAGGATCGGAAATTATTACTTGGATGCGTTATAAACGGAAAAAACAAAATTAATATACCCTCCGTATTATATTGGATGGCATATAAATCCTAACAGGAGTATAGACATAGAATTTAATTCCGAAGAATATATTACAAAAGAGTTCAAATTTTTAACAAATGCCATTTCATCGCAAGGGTCGGCTATTTTTTTTTTAATTTAGCTGCACACATAGTCCATACAATTACTACTACATACCGTCCATGACCTCTTAATGGATATTAGAAATACTGTTGAAAATCACAATACAAGTGCAGAAACAAACAGCAAAAAACACACACACGAACATATAGTCCCACTTGGGGACTCAACACAAAATCCACATTCGATTTAAGTAAAAAAGTCGAATCCCGCACTGCTATGTGTACTTGTTTATGGTTTAATACCCATACGGGCTAGAATTGTGTTGAGAAGTTTAAATGAATGCATTGGACAAGCACACCATTCAAAGAATTTCAACAAAAGATTCAATAAATCAAATGAGAATTGTTTCGAACATCAGAACACTTGAATGTGGAACACCATAGTCGCATGTGACTACATTTTTAGACACATGCATACATATGTAGAGAGTTGGTAGTACATTTCAACGAGATAGCCCAATATCGAATGTAGAATTTTTTCAAATAAAATAGTACGAAGTAATTAGAAGGAGGCTTCAAACAAGATGTGTTAGATATGAAATTATTCGGTATTTCGATAACTAATACGTTTGAAGCATTTATTTCATGACATTTGACGGAACAACGGAATACATTTCATAAATCTAAAAAAAAAATAAACACAGTTCAGAATATAGCTGGTGCAACCAAAGGTGTTGAAGAAAACCAAAGCATGTCAATTCCTCGTTCTTCTTTAAAATTGATCACTCCGAAAACGTCATTGAATTAAGGTTTCGCTGTTACGACACATATTTTTTTTAAATTAATACAAGAACTCAAGCCGGTTGATAATCAAATCGGTAAGTGGATCTTTCATAAAATTGAATTGATGAGGTCTTTTTAAGCCCTGGTGGCAACGTATACAAAGAAAATTGTTGCAGCAGGGGAGGTCGCTTATTGCAACCAATTTCATTATAAATGATTTCGACTGATAAAATATATAGTTGATCAGAATAAAGTTCTATGCCGATTTTGTTTCTGTCCGTGTGTTCGAATCACAACCGTATCCCCATATAACGGTATCTCAAAATATTCCATATTTTGGGGATGTCGGACGCGTTGTTTTTCATCTGAATTGGCTGTAATTTGGTATTTAGTGTTCTTAATGTATAGGGAACCACCCCACTAAAATATTAACATTGGCTTGTTCCAATGTAACGGTACTCCCCCTCCCTCAATATTCGGTATTTTGGGGATGTTGGGCATGTTTTTCAATGGCTGAAAGTATATATTTTGGATTCTTACCGAGTGTAAACTATCACAACTAAAAATTATTACGTCGATGGTACGACTGTCACCTGTCAATTCGGAACTGATAAAGTACACAGTAATTCTCATTCACTTCGTAGTACCATATGGATATATGTTACACGAGTGACGAAGATGTGTGGTTCGTCCGCAGTCTCGTATACTCTTTGCCAGCTCCTCGCTCTTTGTCAGCTCATAGCCCTGTAGCATCGAGCCGACTGTAGCCGATATTCAGCGAGTCGACATCAGCTAGCCCAGAGCCGATTGTAACCGGCCGATCACCAACGAGCCGACATTCGCTAACCGAGCATCTTCGAGCCGACTGTAACCAGTCGAATCCATTCGAGCCAACCACAACAAACCCGAATACCAACCATGCCATTATTATCGAGCCGACATCACTTAGCCGAGTACTTAGCTTACCTCACATCCAAACTATTATTAATATTATAAACATCAGAGTTTTTAATAAATATTGAAATTGTCACCCTGGCAGCGACTGATCATTCTTCGGACTTAGTTTAAAAAAATCTTAGTTAAAACCAGTGAGCGGAGCAGTATAGTCGGACGGGGCCGACTATAGGATACCCTACACAACTACCATAGAATTATTATTTTCTGCGGATGTTTATTCCGAGCCTGGGCAATATTTCGTGATATTCGCATATTCTTGCCCAATTAGAGGTCAGCAGCAGCTGTTTCTTACACTGACATATTTTCTGAATATTCCCAATATTCAGTATAGCTCTTCTTATTATTTGTCGAGATTCCCTTCACCGTGGGTTTTGTTGTGATGTTCGGATTCTGGTCTATAGATCGACTCCAAAAAATACAAAAACTTAAGTTTTCGGTCCACTTCATCCCAAAATTATTATCTGATCATCACCGAAAATTATAGGTGTTGTCCTTGACCATAACTTGATCCTCATGGAAAATTGCAAAGGTATCAGCGCTATATTTCCGTCCTCTAGTGTGGCATCGTGTTTGCAAATTATAATGGACAGACGGACGGACACACATGTCTATATCGAATCAGCTAGTCGAGATATGACGATCGGTATAATTAAAGGTGGGTCTAGGACCAATATTTTGCGGCGTTACAAACGCTTGGGGTTGCACAAAGCTATAATACCCTGACAACATAGTTGTGTAGGGTATAAAAATCAACAATCGTCAAGTTGTGTCAAATAATTGTCATTTATTTAGGTTTACTTTTAAAACCACGAAATTGATAACTGTATATTCAATTTGGGGTAACGTACCCTATAGTCTATACGTAAAGTATACATGTGTTTATGTATATTCTTACCTGTCCAGAGTCTGTATCGAATTTATATAATCGCATAGCCGGATTGTTAGAGCCCACACTCATTTTCCTTGGCGTTACCGATGGTGACATCATCATCCAGGAAACAGGTGTACCTTTAAAACAAATATTAAAAAAACATATTAGAAGTTTATATTGATTAAATTAAAAAAAAATATTTTAAAATTAAATGTTTACAAACATTTTATCTACGAATGCTGTTTTAATTCAATGCAACATTGGATACTTGATGCACCATTTACATAAAATCGGAAATATATATGGGAGCTTTATAAAAATTTGAACCGTTTCTATCCAAATTTACTAGTAGTTATTTCTTGTCCCATATCGATACGTTGTTCAAAATCTTGTGTCAATCAGACAAACTTAGATAAAATCGCACGAAAATATATATTGCACCTAATTCGGAATTGATTTTTTCAAAACTTTTCAGAACCATTTTGTAGACCCATTTAGATACTTTGTGCAAACATTTGTGGCAATCGAAAAAAAAACTTTGCACCATTCACTTAAAATCGCACGAAAATGTGTATGGAAAATATATCCAAATTTTAACCATTTTCACCAAAACCTGACACACCTCTGTGACAATCGGTCCAACTTAGCGTCTTTGATGCACCATTATACCTAAAATCGGACGAACAATCGGACGATAAAATCGCACGAAAATATATATTGCAGCTAATTCGGAATTGATTTTTTCAAAACTTTTCAGAACCATTTTGTAGACCCATTTAGATACTTTGTGCAAACATTTGTGGCAATCGAAAAAAAAACTTTGCACCTTTCACTTAAAATCGCACGAAAATGTGTATGGAAAATATATCCAAATTTTAACCATTTTCACCAAAACCTGACACACCTCTGTGACAATCGGTCCAACTTAGCGTCTTTGGTGCACCATTATACCTAAAATCGGACGAACACATACGGGGGAGCCACATCTAAATCTGAAACGATTTCACCAAAACTTGATACACAGGAAAGTAGTAAAGTCGGACGGGGCCGACTATATAATACCCTTTACCATTTTGGGTATATTCAAAAGATGAATCCTAAGAGACGTCGCATTTTTAAAGGACCAGTAAAATGAAATTGGATCCATAAACATCTCATTCTGCCAAATTTCGTGCAAGCCGAAAGATATTAAGGGACTTTGGTACACCATTTACCTTAAATCGGACGAAAATATGGGAGCTATATCTAAATCTGAACCGATTTTCGGGAAACTTAATACACATCATTATATACCTAATTCATTACGCTGTGCCAAATTTTGTGCAAATCGAAAGATATATTGAGACTTTGGTACATCATTTACCTTAAATCGGATGAAAATATGTATGGGAACTATATCTAAATCTGAACCGATTTTCAGGAAACTTAAAACACATCATTGTGGACTTAATTTAGTACGCTATGCCAAATTTCGTGCAAATCGAAAGTTATATAGGGACTTTGGTGCACCATTTACATTAAATCGGACGAAGACATATATGGGAGATATATCTAAATTTGAACCGATTTTAAGGAAACTTAACACACATCATTCTTGACCTATTTCATTACTCTGTGCCAAATATAGGGGCTTTGGTGCACCATTTACATTAAATCTGACGAATATATATATGGGAGCTATATCTAAATCTGAACCGATTTTTCCCAATTTCAATAGGGTTCGTCCTTGGGCCAAATAAGTGATCTATGCCTAATTTCATCAAAATCGGATCATAAGTGCAACCTGTACGTTGTTCACAAAAATACATGGACGGACGGACAGACAGACGGACATGCGTAAATCGAATCAGAAAGTGAGTCTATGCATATTCTCAAAAGGAACCATGTGTCTATCTTGTTTCCATTTGCCTGTTACAAACATATGCACAAAGACATAATACCCTGTACCACAGTGTGGTGAAGAGTATAAAAATCGGACGAATCTATATGTGTAAGCTATAACTTAATCTGAATCGATTTCAATAAAACTTGACAGAACTTAGGTTATACTAACTTCGATGGTGTGCAAAATTTCGTGTCAATCGGCCTAAATTTGACTCTTTGCTGCACCATTTACTAAAAATCGGTCGAAAATATATATGTGAGGTATATCTAAATTTGAACCGATTTTCATCAATTTCAATAGGGTTCGTCTTTGAGGCAAATAAATGATCTGTTCCAAATTTCATCGTATTCGGATAAATCGACTCTGAAAGTGATTCTATGGATATTCTCAAAAGGAACCATTTGTCTATCTCCTCTTTTTCCTTTTGCCTATTACAAACATATGCACAAAGACATAATACCCTGTACCACAGTCAGTGTGGTAAAGGGTAGAATGAGTTCTATTTATAATAATAATTATAATTTCTTTGTGCATGTTTTTGTCGATATGCAAAGGACCAGAAGATATGACCACATATACATTGCGGTATATACGTAGAGTCACTTTTTCAGTTGATTTCTCCATGTTTTATTAGGTTAATTAAAAAGTAAAATTTGTAGAAGAACTAATATTTGTGTAATATGCTTTCAATTTCTGCACCTTTAATAATTGCATTGCATTAATGCAATAGATAAAATACAGTGTCGAACAAAACTACAAAGAAAATGGAAACACAATTGAAAATTCAAATTTAATTAAAAAGTTAAACGTTAAAACTAACAGACAAATTTTAATATACATTCCACCTTACGTTGGGCTGTATATTATATATGTTGGACTGTCATTCCATCAACAATCTTGTCATTAGGAGAAACCTGATATTCTGAGATTCAGTAACAGACATAATTTCCTCAGAGTTCTTGCAATTAATGTTCCAGATATTTTAGTGTCCGATTGACACGACATTTCAAATTTTTGAGACATCTATTAAAAACTTGATTTAAAAAATAGTATTTAAGGTCTATATTTACTATTAATTTTGGATGATATTTTATAGCAATTCTCGATTTATGTAGGATTCGACTTCACTTATCATAGTTTATAAAATAAAACGTTGCTTGATTTTGGTATTTTGTTTAATACAATAATAATGTTTTATTTTATAAGTAAAAAACGCAATACAATTAATTTTCATTTTGCACCCAACTGTAAATGAATGTTTGCATTAAATTTACACATTTCAGTTTATTTAACAAACTGTTGAAATTAAAATTCAATTCGTGCATTCCCATTAACAGCTTTAGCTTCCTCACTCCCTCTCTGTTCAAAAGTTCATATCCGCTTCAACTTTTGCCACATCCTCAATTTTTTGTGTGGCATCTCTTTTGGTCTGAGTATGTGTGTGAGTGTTACCAAATAACAGTTTTTTTATTTTGCATCGCAAACAATGTAAATTTGCCGACATGCAAAAACTTTGCCATAACATTTGCCTAACCAGACACACCCACATCCTTTTCCTTGAAATTTACCATGATGGGCTGCTAGTCGATTGGTTCCCTATATTTGAATGTTGGATGGCTGGCACTCACAGTATGTGGTAACTAAGCCCAAACAAATTGAATTATGGCTTCTAAGTTGGTTTGGTTGGTTTGTCATATTATGGCGCCTATGGAATACGTGACGAATGGCCAGAAAAACAAGAGGCTAACGAATTGCTGAGTAATCTCAACATCGGAAGCGACCAGGATGGGAAGGAAACATAGTTCTTCACAGAGCAGACGACACGCCAAGGAAAATAGATATTATTTGTTGAACCCTTAGAGGTGGTATTCCAACCTTTGCTCTGAGTCTTCAATTGCCACAAACACACACACCGACACAAACACGGACACAGGCGTTTCCTTGCAAAAATATTGTAAACGTGGACAATGATTGTTGCTAGACAAATAACAAAATGTCCTGCCATTATGTGACCAACAACGTACAACAACTGTCAGGCACGGGTCAATGCCATGATAGCCCAGGGTTATAAATATATATATATATTCGGTACGGATGGTACGATTATGGCATCTGGCAATCTGCAACAAGCCATCAAAATGATAGGTCATGCACAGTAGAAGATTTATGAAATTTTCTAATCACTGTTAATTATTGATGAAGTGAATATCTGGAGGATTTATTTGATTATAATTAAATTGGTATTGAGGAGTGGGAATATTAGGCTTTAATATACTTTATAGATTAAGAATAAAAAAAGTGAATAAATATTGCCATTTTATGTTGGGAAATAGCCCTTGTACCTAGTGTACCAGGGTTTCTTAAATACAAATTAAAAACTTATTTTTCTCGATTTTTTTAAATATTTTGAATAATTTCTTAGAAGCGAAATGTTATTCGTTTTTAAAAGCAACAAGAGATAAATTTAATTAAAAATGTTTATGTTATTTAATTTGTTAAATTAATTAAATAAATATTTAATTTTAATATTTCATTATTAAAAATATGTAAATAGTATAATAAATATATATTCATACATAGTTATTATTAGCAAAAGTGTTATATTTTTTTAAAATTTGAATAATCGTACTGAATTAAGTCTAGAATGATGTCTGCCAAGTTTCGCGAAAATCGGTCCAGTTTTAGATATAGCTCCCATATATAGTTTCGTCCGATTTAATGTAAATGGTGCCCCAAAGTCCCTATATATCTTTCGATTTGCACGATATTTGGCATAACGTACTGAATTGAGCCTAGAATGATGTCTGCCAAGTTTCGTGAAAATCGGTCCTGATTTAGATATAGCTCCCATATATAGTTTCGTCCGATTTCATATAAATGGTGCACCAAAGTCCCTATATATCCTGCGATTTGCACGCAATTTGGCATAACGTACTGAATTGAGCCTAGAGTGATTTCTGCCTTGTTTCGTGAAAATCGGTCCAGATTTAGATATAGCTCCATTTTATTATAGATTTATTTTAAGTAATTGACGCACCAAGGAACCAATATGCTGATAGGAACAAAACGTTCTGAAGTTAGTATAACCTAACCTGTGACAAGTTTGTTTGAGATCGCTTAATATTTGGATAGAGTTTCTATATATATTTTCGCCATATTTCAAGTAAATTGGGCATCAAACTCCTCATGTTAGTCAGATTGACATCAAATTTTGCACAACGCACAAAATTGAGCATAGAATTATGTAGTTGC